CAACTACTTGAAGGACAAACGAAGTATAAAGTTGGTGTAAGAAGAAAAATTTGTTAAATAACAAGAATGTCAATACATTTCAGTATACCTCAATTTAATGCATTTTCCCAGTCAGAAAATATCATTTTACCCATCCACTACTTGTTTTTGTTTTGTTCTTAGTTTTGGTGGTCTTCAAAAAAAACACACAGCAAGGTATTGATAAAAACTATTAGAACAGGTCAGAAACCATGATTGCTGAAAGATTAAACGTTCAATTAATTTAAACACTTCATTATCACATGTTCACTTTCTTTGCAGTCTTCAATCATGCCTTGTACACAGTGCGTGGAATAAGCTGAGCCTCGTACCTGCATCAGTGGATCCTTTCACAGAGTCAGACAAGCTGCAGAGGAGCTCCTCACTTCAGAGTGAGCGGTTGCAAACAAGCCCGTTTGTCATGTGTGGCAGGCAGTTTTAACTGAAGCACAAACCCTCCTGTATGCTGACTTCTTCTTCTTCTCCTGAAAATTTATTGTCTGTCTCTTTCGTTCTCCTTACTTCACAAACACAGGAAATTGCGTCTGAGAACATGAATCTCAATCATAAAATATTTTACCGACCGCCATCCTTTTTGACAGGGTCAGAACCACATCTGATTTGATTTATGAAAGGACCTTGGTGGACTTTACTTTATCAGCAGCAGCAAGTAAACATTTTCACAATGAATCATGCATTTTATATGTTTTAACTGTATATTATTGTACATTATTCTTAATTAATAATGCAAGCTTGGTTATATTATGTTGTTGTACATCTGACTTTTCAGTAATTTCTAAGTGTGGACAAGAGGAGTTAGAGTTGTGGTTTTAACACCTAATGATAAATACTGTTCAGAAATAATTATTACTGGAATCAATAACAGACATCTTTATATTAAATAAAAAAGGAATTCAGAATTTCAGAGCTTGAGGCTGGTTTACGAGAGATGTTTTAGTTTCCTTACCTCGCTGGATTTCTTCAATAAAAAATACAATAAAAAGCTGAATAAGCAGGATAATAGGAAGCTTGTAGGAGATGGGCAAAGAATGTGCATTTAAAAAAAAGGAGGGAGAAAGTGGCTGCAGACTCAGGGTTTATCTGCAGCTATTGTTGGTTCAAGAGATTTTGAAGATGCACTGCATAACCTGGATCTACAGGTAATGGTGTCAGAGAGATGACACAGGGGAAAGCACAAAACTGGACTACAAAATTATGAAATCTTTACTAGATATCAATTTTGCCAGTGAAGTCATGACCATATCATTGATCATGTCCAGACTGCATGCAGTGCAGCTGATATTTTTTAGAGCTCTCAGTCAATGTCCCCTTGTATTTATGCTTCTGCTCTGCATGCTGGATCTTCTCCATTGTGTCAAAAAACAGAGATCCTACTAGTTTAGGGATGAAGCTGCAAGGATGCACGTCTAGCAAGTAGGGCAGCGGAATCTGCTGGTTTTAAATGCATGCACTACAATATTTTTCCAGCACATTCCATACTTTATATCATTTCTGCTGAATGTTCAACTCTCGACCACTTAGGCATGAATAGGATGTTCTCTGCAGTAGTGACAGTCTTACCCTGAGAAAGCAATTCATGTTCCAAATTATATTTTTCTATGGAGATCAAGTGATTATTATAGCAGCTAACATAATAAAATACTTTATTTCATCTTGAAGTTTCATCTGGTCTTCAAGGTCATAATTTATCTTTGTTAGAATTTTTCATTTTAGGTTTTTCCTCCAGTGTGATTACCTGCCCTGTTTGGGTCACCCATGTCTTAATGTCCTGCCCACTCTTTGTTTCTCCCTTTTTCTGTGCCAGTATTTTGCTTCATCTGTGAGTCTTCAAGTGATTTTATTCTGTTCTGCACCATCTTACTGAGATATATTTGAGCGGGTTTCACAGAAATCCTGTTTACTGCACATTTTTATTATACTTTATGCACATGGCTCTGCTTTGTGCATTGGAATACTGTGTACATCTTTACTTGCTGTCACAGTCAGTAGTCATAGGTGCATTACTTAGCATTATTCTTGTCTAGATCATCTACCCCTGCATTTCCTATTTGCCTTGTTAGTACAGCAGAAGAGAAAGACTCAACATCAATGGCCACATTTTGTCTGAAGATTCCACTATGTCACCTGGCTGGTCAGGTAACATAGTGTAGCCTTCAAAGTCATGCTGCAGCATACGTCCATATAGGGTCCCAGACGTTGTGATTTGTGTGTGAAATGCACAGAAAGGCAAAAAAAACCTTGAACGCACACAAGGTCAATGTCACATCGTGTTGTCGATCCTTTAAACTCAAGCACTTTTTCCACTTGCCTGTCTATAACTGGCAACTGTTTATTTTTTATATCTACTTTCTATCTACTTGCACTTTATCATATTAGTATTGCTCTTGATTTTTTGTTCAAATCTCTTTAGCATTCTGTCAGTGGAGCTGAATGAACAGATTAGCTTGAGCTTAACGTACTGAATGCAAAGACCCAACTTTTAAAATTAGCATCAGCCACATGCGTGACAGTTTTCGCACATAGTCGATATATAAGTCGTCACACATCAAAGAAGGGAGAATATATCCATCAAACCTGGCTGTTAAATATCAAAAAAGAAGGAAAGAAAAAGGTCAAGCAGCACAGGCTCAAAGTATATTTATTCAGTCATCTGGTGCTTCCCGCTGACAGAGGAGAAAGGTGAAAGTGTGGCTGTACTGCAGAGTATTTGCCAGCCTCAAAGGAAAGAAAGGTATTGTGATAAAATCTTTAAAGCTGAGCTACTATTCACTAACAATAGGAAACATCACATGGGGGCTGCAGCATAAACCAGATATATACAAATATAAAACCATAACACTTAAAATACATGCAGAGGCTGTTTGACATTAGAACAGTGTGTTTATAAAAGCAGGGATCAGGGTAACTATGAGAAAATGATAAGTGGTGAAAAATTGTTTTGCTTTTACAATTTTAGAAAAATCTCTATTAAAACAAGGTGGGTGTGATTTGCTAAAACTTTAGTTTGCATCTT